TCCTCCCCGAGGCCTCTCCCAGGCGTTGGGACTTCTCCGCTGAGGCGCGGCGAAGGCAACAGCTCCCCTTCGGTGGGTGTCTGGGCTTGGTGCGCCCGCTCCCTTCCCGCCCGCGCGCCTCTGCGCTCCCCCCGGCGCCAGAACCATGCTGTGCTGCCTGTTGGTGAGGGCCAGCAACCTCCCTAGTGTGAAGAAGGACCGCAGCGACCCGGTCGCCAGCTTGACTTTCCGAGGTGAGAGCCCCTTGGCCACCGCGCCCACGCGCCCGCGCCACCCGCCTCTCCGCACGCTCCGCATGGTTTGCAGCCCCGGCTCCATCACTAACCCTAGTCCAAGCCACAGTTTTCTTCCTCTGTCAGCAGGGACAGGCATCTCAGCCCTGTCTTCCGCAGGAGGCGAGGAGGATGAAACACAGCACATTGCCGCTGTGCTCTGAGATCTGGGAAAAGTGCATGTGCTGTAATATGTCAACAGTTACCACTTAAAAAACGTTTTCATTGCTTTTTTTAGAGAGAGAGAGATAGAGAGAGAGAAATAAACATTGATGTGAGAGAGACACATTAATTGGTTGCCTCTCACACGCACCTCAACTGGGGCCAGGAATCAAACCTGCAACCCAGGTATGTGCCCTTGACCGGGAATCAAACCTGCGACCCTTAGATGCTCGGGGCCGGCGCTCTAACCACTGAGAAACACCAGCCAGGGCTATGGTTACAACTACCCCATACCCAGAGGGAATAAAGTGCAAGCTTTTATCTGTGCCTGTAGACTGGTGTGCTTTGAATCTTTATTTCATTCATTCATTGGCCTATCTTTATTGAATCCACCAGGTCTCATTTGGGAGTAAGGAGCATAGTAGGTTAGATATGGCCTTGATACAAGGATTTTGAGGGTTGTCAGGGATTTTTTTTTTTTAATTCAAAGAGCCTAAGTACCTATATGTGGTGCTTAGATAAGAGTACTCCCACCCCCTCTGTGTTTGGGGCAACAAAGGACTTACAACCCCTGTCTTGCCAGGCAGCTTTAACCCCCTACTTTAAGGCAATCATTCCCATGGGTGGAGGTGTCTTAGGAGGGGAAAGGGAAGAGGAAGGATCTGTCAAAATTAAGAGAAGGAACAATGGCTGTGAGTCAGGACCCCAGTTCTGTAAAGAAAGATAAATAAGGAGAGGAGAGAGAGTTTTCCACTTACCAGGATGCATATCCTGTGGTTTTGTGGAATTAAAAAAATATATGTATCACAAAAGATGGTCAGCTCTATAGGAAGAAATGGCTGGTGTTTTTCACGAGGCTTGAAAACAATGGGGGCACTTTCAGCTCTGACCCATGATCTCCATTTGCCCCCCAAGCACCCACAAATACTAATAACCATAGATGGAAGCACAATTTGGCCAAGTGAGAACTATGTGCAGCTTTAATTATTTGTTATGGGATAATTTACATTGTATTTCTCTTTTGAGAAGTGTGAGTTGAAACATTTTAGAAAACTGCTATTTTCATTAATTGGTGACATCCCTGGGTGCCCACTATGAAATGCAACTTTAGGACAAGGTTCCTAGCTCTCTCTTGTCCATCAGACTTAGCCTAAGCCCGTGACTGGCAAACTGCTGCTCGCGAGCCACCGACTTCTGCGCATGGGCCACGAAGTTTCAATCGCACTGTACCTGCGCACCCGCACATGGTATTTTGTGGAAGAGCCACACTCAAGGGGCCAAAGAGCCGCATGTGGCTCGCCAGCTGCGGTTTACCGACCACTGGCCTAAGCCATTCCTGAGCAGAAATTATGAGGCCACCACTGACTGGAAAAGAAGTTCCCAAAGGTCCCTGAGCCCAAGGGCCCACGTCAGCCTAGTTCTCTCAGATGCTTTGGAACTCTTTTGGGTCTGTTCACAGCTCTCTTTCCTTGGTTCTTTTTTTAATATGTTTTTATTGATTTCATAGAGGAAGGAAGAGGGAGAGATAGAAACATCAATGATGAGAGAGAATCATTGATTGGCTACCTCCTGCATGCCCCACACTGGGGATCAAGCCCACAACCTGGGCATATGGCTTGACCAGGAATCGAACTGTGACCTCCTGGCTCATTGGTCGATGCTCAACCACTGTGCTATCTCAGGTGGGCTTTCCCTGGTTCTGTAACAGTCTCTGGTAGCTACTAATCTCATTCTGCAGATAAGGAAATGGCAACCCGGGGAGGTTAAATGATGTGTCCAGGTTGTGGTTGTGGCAGGGAGCTACCAGTGTTGGAGTGGGCAGTACCCATGAGTCAGGTAGGTGACTTAATAGGTAATCTATTGAGGCCCCCTCTTGGTTGTTGCTCTGGGCCAGGTACCCTGCCTGCATGGCTGCTGTCCTCCAATCTCTGTATGCACCACTCTTTACAACATCTTACTATTGATGCGCTGACAAGCCCCGAGCAAAACTGAAATATAGAATATAACATATCCGATTGTTCAGAGCCCATTCATCTTTCAAAGCCCCAGTGCAATACCACCTTCTCCAGGGAGGCACCCAGGATTCCCCTGGCTAGCATTAGTCCCTCCTCTCCGGAGGCACAGCGCCTGGTTAGGTCTGCTAGCCATTCAGTCCAGCAGGTCTGTGCGCAGTCCTCAGCTCCGCACTTAGGACCCTGTGACTCCTTGAGAGCAGCGGCCTGTCCTCTGCACGGGGCACCAGAATGCCAGGGCTGGGTGCAGACAGGTGCTCTGTAGTGTTTGTGCCTTTTCTGGTCCAGCCTCCGGCCATCACGCAGCCTGGGACAGAGGTCTTCACGCTTTCCTGGGTCCCATCCATAGAGGTTCCGAAAGTCAGCATTGATCACCTACTAATATTTCCATTTTGGAAACACACCTTGAGAGAAATTGGTGGGAGATGTGAAAGGTGAAATCAATGTGGCTTCTCTTTCCCCCCCTCCCACCCCCGTTTCCCAGGGGGAATTCATGCTGGAGTTTGGGGCTGAGCTGATGCTTAGAGAGGGAGGCCATTAGAAGCGGACCCAGAACTTACAGATCACCTAGACGGGGGTAGTCAACCTGGCTGCACATCAGAGTCACTTGGGGAGCTTTAAAAATATTCACTGCCAGCCCCCCTGTCCCCTCCTCTCTCTTGGAGGAGGGGCCCCAGATACAGGTGATTCTAAACAGACTCCAGATATGTCAGATGTGCTGTCAGGATTGAGAACCCTGGAGCCCAACCCCCTCAGATGAATCTCAGATGGAACTGAGGCCTGCTCACAGAGAAGCCAGCCTCGCCCTGTGCTTGGCTCCCGCATGGGGGCCCCCAGTGCATGGGCCTGGCTGGCCCCACTTTCCAAGCAGTTGTTCCCCCAGCATTCCAGCCTTGGATGTAATTTCAGGACCTGCCTCCCAAAATAGACTATGAGCTTTGGAAGGCCCGACCCCGAGGGTACATTTTTGGTTTCCCTGTCTCAAGGCTTCAGGGTAGAGGTGATTAATGAATCTTTGTCATTCCTTTGTTCCTGTACTAATTAATTAGTTAACTAAAGCTGCCTTGAGTCCCGGGCTGTAGAGGTACTTTTGACGAATGGTCTTCGTGAACGAGCAGCTTAATTTCTTGTAACATTTAGTGATCTGTCCTTTCTTCTGCCCTGCCCATGTTCTGTCCTGGAATGTGCTTATGTCCCTCCATTCATGCATTTAGTTCATTGAACACATACTTATTGAGCACCTACTATAGGCTGGGTGGTGTTCCAGATGTTGGCGATACATCCAAGAACAAAACCCGAAGCTTAGACTTTTATTTCCTTGAAGTTCGGATCTCCTGTACCCCCACTTGGTGAATTTCTATTGGCTTCCCAGGGCCCACAAGCCAGAAAACTGAATCATTACTGTCTCTTCTCTCTCCCTCATCCCTCCCCATGTCTCTCCAGCTAACCCCACTCCTTTCTCCCCCTCTTCTCCCTTCTATCTCCTGGGAGGTCTCTAGACTTTAGACAGGAGCCTGGGGGAATCTCCTAGAACTGCCTGAAGGTTGAGAGACAACTGAGGGGCAGACCTGACCCCCCTTTGTAGGGAAAGTGGGCTAAGGAGATACTGGATTCTCTGAACCTGGCTTTTTAAACATTAGAGGTGACTTTAAAGCATTGAAATTAGCCTTCTGCTTTCTTTTTGAGAACATAATATGCACCCAGTAAATAAAAGGATATATTAGAGAGGGATGTGAGGCAAGAGTAATAAATGGCCCCGAATCCTGGCACTTTGAATTAATTTTTAATAATTTGACATATATCCTCTAAGATTTCTTTCCCATAAAAAAAAAGCCATTTTAGTTGTGAAATTTAAGACCCAAATAAAGGACTTAGAATACAAATGTATGCTTTAACGCAGGGATTCTCACCTGGGGGTGGTTTTGTTCTTTAGGGGACGTTTGGCATTGTCTGGAGACATTGTGGGTTGTCATCACTGGGTGTGTGTGTGGAGGGGGGTGTGGTGGTACCCACAGGCGCGTGCTGGCAGCTAGTGGGTAGAGGCCAGGGATGCTGCTAAACATCCTGCAGTGCATAGCCCCCTCCCACAAGAAATATCCAGCCTCAATGTTTATGGTGCCCACATTGAGAGACCCTGCTTTAATGGCTAAATTAGGAAGGGAATAACCCACATGTATCACCCAGGTCAAGGAATGGAGTCTTTGGGTCCCACCCTTTTACCAGAGACCTCCAGACCCCTTGCCTTTCTCTCTAAAGTAATAGCTTCTCTCAAAGGTTTGTCAACTTACATTTTCACTCAGCAGTACACCAGGGGCATTTTTCTCTGTCAGTCAGTATTCTCCACACCTTTTAAAAATGCCTGCATAGTATTTTAATGTGTGGGTGTACCATAATTCAGTTATACAACTTCCTATTGATGAATATTTAGGTTATACCAAATGTTTTAAATTTATAGTCGATACTTAAATGATACTGTCACTGTTAGAATTATCCTGGTGTCTAAATCTTTGCCCACATAGTTAATTATTTTGGGGGGGTAAATACCAGAAGTGACATTGCTGTGTCAGAAGTTTACGTATTTAAGGCTTTGCTGCATTTCCCAAATTGCTCTCCTGAAAATCTGTACCAACTTTACCCTCCCATCAGCGGAGTATGGGGGCTTGTTTTCTTATACTAATCCTGCTAACATAAAGCATTATCATGCAAATCTCTTTAATAATTTCTTCGGTTCAAATAGCATTTGTGATATTTCAAAGTTATTACCTATTTGAATTTATTTTTACTGAA